CCCCAAAACCCCAAAACCCCAAAACCCCAAATAAAGCGATCTTTCTTGAAATAAATAATATAAATGGCACTGTCATTCCAACATTTCTTGTTCATGACTCTTTTTATCTCAACAACTGTGAGAGGACTTGGAGTAATGAACGAATTTGTGCAGAACCCTTACGGAGAATATGATATACTAATTGAAAGAGCACATCGGAACTTTAATGTTTTGATCCCCGTCATTAATGCTTCCAGACAGGTGAACCTCAACTTTGAAGATCTCAATGAATTTAATCTTCCTTTACCTCTAATATTGCACACAACAAGGTTTGCCATCACAAGAATATTTGACTGTCAAAAATAATGACTGATCACAACCAATTACATTTTTCTGAGTTCTATTTGAAGAATTTAGAGGGTTATCTAGACTTGTCGTCACTGAAATGAAGTATGGGTTCACAGAATTTTTAATGAAATATGCAAAGAAGTCCTTCCAAATCAAACAAAAAATCATGAACACATATGGAGCAGAAGCCTTTGAAAGCAAATCTCAATGCATCAGAACCAGAGTTGGAGAGTATTACATTCCTCTATTTCAAGGTACGGATACTTCACAATGAACAGAGTTTGATGGCATCATCATCAGCTTCTTTGAGACGACCAACGAAGGATGGGTCTATTATAAAGGCTTAATCATTAAATGTCTTGTTGTCATATCGATCTTTCCACTAAATGTATTGCTTATAAATAGAATTATGTCTGAGTGGAGGATCTATAAAAGTAATAAATCCACTCCCCAGAAGCTATTATCAGAAAGCATCAACAGATCTTCCAAAAGTCTGATCAGCTTGAGCAATTACAGCAACAGTGTTCACTCCCAAGACCCAAGCGAACAAAGTCAAGAGTCAAATTGTATACTCGAGACGCTCAGTGCAAAACCAAACTGTAATATGGCGAGCAATCCTAGCTATCAATGTGGATCCTCAAGTAGTGACTCAAGTATTTCACTTTCTTCAAAATAATGCACGGATGTAAAATAGTGAATATTAAGTTTTATTTTGAGGCTCAACGGAAAGTGGTGATCCTGGGGTTTTGGGGTTTTGGGGTTTTGGGG